GGAGAAAAGGATGAGATGGAAGAAAGGAGGATGAGGTTTTTTTCGCAGCTGGCTTTTCTGGGGTGGAAAAAAGAAGGGAGACGGCAGGGAGTTAGGGAAAAATTGCACGGAGAGCTTCGGCCCGTCGTCGAAATTGGTAGAATCACGGCAACGTAGCCGGCCACCCAATGATAGCCGAGTTGCCTTCACACCGCCTTGTAACCGAGCCAATCGGTGCGACGCAGCTGGAGTTGAAGTTCAATTGAACTCCATAGTAGCTGCTAGAACGCCCGACAACGAACGATTCTGGTGTTGTGTTCCGATGTTGTTTATGCGTGGAGTTTCCCGAGGCAAGCGTTCAGGGCTTCAAAGAGGTAGTAAACTACCTAGCTACCTACCTAACTTATAGGTACATATCATTAGCTAGTCCATCTCCTTCTAGTCATATATCGTTATTCTCTTTACGTACAAAACAGCTCTCCCAGTATCAATCTTCCCTTCATCATGATGTCATTATAAAACCTTCCCTACCGTCGTTGGCGTTCATTGGGTGAGATGAGCAGAATCTAACTAGAGTGTTTGCGCTCCATTGTTGCGATTTGGGAATTGAAGATGGGTTATGAATATGTTGTTTTGATATCCTAGTCAACAGCCCTTGATGACAGTAAAACGAAGAGGGAAAGAAAATGTGAATTGTAGTATGTGGCAAAACACTGCTCCGTAACCGGAGATATATATGTTCCCATGAAGGAAGATATACGATCACCACTTGATTTTCTCAGTCGGCCCATTTCACCACAAGCTTTTCGAGATGGATTAGGTAGATACCTTGGGTTCCTGGGTAGGCATATTCCTGGATCAACCGCAAAAAGCGCCACCCACCGCGGTACTTGGAGTTGTTCATAATGCACATCCTACCCAATTATTGAATTGACAAGGATGGCGACGCTGCAACTGCCAGCACATCACACTACGAAAGCACCGACATAACCCATGAGTTGTCATTTATCATGCTATTCTGTAGGAAGTGTGAAATTTTTGAATTTTTGAATAAATTTTTTTGGATAGATATTATGCGCAGCATGTCGAAGCGAGGAGAGAGTACCTTGATGTAGGTATATACCTTATGTAAGTACATGTATGTCCCTATTTACCTGAAATACGAGAATAGAGAGAGAGAGAGGAAACATTCCCCCGAAATGTCAAACATAGGTGCGGTCCCCATGTATGCTCTGCACAATGAGATTGATACGGTTAGATGCAGGGACTTGAGACAGACAATAATGTATTGGGGGGTGCGCGTGACTAGTAGTAGGATTTCAATCTAGGAGTAGCGGATACGGTATAAGCCAGACAAAGAAGAAGAAAAGAATTATAGGAGAAAAAAACTTTCACTTGACAAAGAAAACATATTTCCGAATTCATCGAGAAAGAAAGAAAAACTCCAACGACTGCATCCGGCCTCGACCGGACGCATTCGCCGCTCAGGAGTTCCCCGGATTGGAAGGTCGAGTATTACGTCATCCATCGAGAGCGGATGGATTTTAGTTTAGGCAGGTGTAGTTTAGCCTTAGGTATGAGGTAGTAGCGGTGATCTCTTCTCCCCATACCTTCTAGCGCATATTGAAGCTACCTAATTAATCACCTTTTTTTTTTCTTCTTCTCCTTCTTTTCTTTTCCTCTACCTACAACCTTGAAAGCAAACTGCAGAATTGGGCTCCTTTCCCTCTCTCCCTCTTCCCCTCCATCTTTCACACCGACCTCGTTATCGGTTCCCCCGATCTGCTTGGCTTGATCGTTGCCACATCTACATCACCAGCGGCCCGCCGACCCCGTCATTCCCGCAACGCCAGTGTTTCTTAATCCTAGCTATACCGCCAACAATGTCACTTGGGCGTTGACCTGTCTTCACCATGACGACGGATTCGGCGCTTTCGTGAGTCTTGATTTCTCCTCGAAAATTAACTTATTCTTGTGTTGTACTGTGCCACTAACACACACTGCCTTATCCGCTTAGATATCACCCGACCGAGTCCTTATTTCTCCCGACAAATCGACGCTTCTTCCCGTTCAAAATCCCAAACTTGTCCGTGCTCTTTATCTCCGTATCTGATCCCGTGGGCGCCTACTGACGTGTTCGGTAGTCATCAACAGCTTCGTAATTACATCAGCACCGCCGACCCTGATAGGATATACGTTGCCGTCGACAGAGTCATATACGCGATTCACATTTCGACACAAAAGAGAGAGACCATAGCCGTCATTCCATTTGAGCCGAAATGTCTTACAGCTGGTTATGGCTGGATCGGTGTTGGGGGGTCAGACAACGGGGAATGTGCTTTTATCAAGATTGCGGACCAGGCAGTTCGTGTTCGTGAAAATACCCCATCTTTGCAGCCCGCAGCTGTGGACAGTGCCTTGCCAATCAATGTCGAGGGCCTACGGAGGGTCAATCAATCCTGGTTGTCAAGCGACGAGTCGGATTCCGCTCGCGAGGGCACTGGAAGACAATTGCGTGACGTGCAGCTGCATAAATTCGGAGGCAAGATTGTCAATGCGGTGACGATCCATCGATTGCCCGGCGATAACAAGGGATTAGCTGACGAGGACGTTATGGTTCTTAGGTAAATACCTTTTCCTCTGTCCCGTTATCTTCCCGCGGCATGCTAATGGTCCACACAGTAACAATGACTATACCGTGACCATCTATTCCTTGACCCGCTCGAAAGTCCTCAAGGTGCTTCATCACTCCGAGTGTATGAATTATGCAATTATATCGCCAGATTCAAACATCCTGGCTGCAGTTGGCGATGAGACCCGCGCATACTTTTATGACATCACCCGGGACTTCGATACGACGGTCTTGACGGAGGGCGGTCAAAAGCTCACCGGATGGAATTGGGACCTTCTCCGCGGTATAGAGATGGATATCGGTACCCGGTTTGGTATCGGCACTCGTTTTGATGACGGTTGCTGTTTTACCGTCGCGTTTTCTCAATTCAGTCGGCTGTGCGCTATTGGATCTCAGTCCGGCGTGATCACTGTATTTGATGTGAAGACGATTCGCGACATCTTCCATGAGCCCAACGGTAAAAACGCGATAATATGCCATTTTAATTCTTCACGGCCCTGTTGTAATGGCGGTGCTGTGCGTTCCATGGCCTTTGCTCCTGAACCCTGGGACCTCCTGGTGTGGTTGGAAGATAAGGGTCGGGCTGGTGTTGCCGATGTGCGCCAGGCTTTCGTTCGCAGACAGATCCTCGAACTGGAGATGGATGACCCAACACTTCAAAAAGTCCGCACCGAGCCGTTGATAGATGATTCTAACGAGATTGAATCGGATCGCCAAACCGATACTGGTTCGCGGCAGGAAGCGGATGCAGCTGAGCGAGAGATTGTCGACTCGATTGAGGGTACTTATGACCGGATTGGAAGCAACCTTGGCACCCACCCGTTACGTGATAATTTGATGCAAGGCCTCAACGAAAGGGAAAGGCTAATAGTCGAGTTTTTAAACACAGCACGCTGGACTTCGAGACTGGAAGAAGGGCTGCGCGCTAGAGCCAACGGAAATCCGCCTCCCGTGCCTCGCTTTCAAGGTTCCACAGATGTGCCCAATCGAACCTCTCGTCCTACTTCACCCTTTCGCCAAAGCGACCTGCTTCATGATCTATCCCGCGAAAACCAGTCAATTCATACGGGGACTGGTAGGCACAGTGTAAGGCACCGAACTTCTTACATACCAACCCCAACCGTGTATGAGACAACAGATAGGGACCCGGAGCTGGAAAGTGTCAATGCAGAAGCACAGCCAAGTATAACACTCAGCTGGACCTCTTCACCATCAGAGCTACAGTCCACGTCGCTCGATAGCGACCAACGTGCCTCTGAGTCAAGTTCGGGCAGTTCTGGTAATGAGAATGGCGCGAGTAATCGACCCCACGAGACAATGGGACGGCCATCGGCCAACTTTGACTACTCGAATACACCCGAGGTCTTGGTTCCTCGACTGAGGAACCACCAAAGATCTCATTCTAGCAACCGACAAAACGAGGAACATGATGATACAACCGAACCTAGGCAAGAAGCGTCGCGCCTATCGAGTTCCGAATTGAGAACGAACGTGGCGGCAGAACGGCTTCGGAGGCAGCGACAGATCATCAATGAAGCACATAATCGCAATAACCAGCGGGAACAACGATATAGGCAGCAACTATTGGGCTTTGAGCAGACTCGGTCTCCTCGGTGGATTCGGAGCATATTAAATGAGCTTCCTGATCGTAGCCTAGGGGTAGGGCACCGGGACCAAGATCCAGGGAGTACTGCCGGCCTTGGATGGGGTGCAGACGGGAGAACCCTGTAGGTCTCATATATTCCCTGCTCGAGATATAATGCTAACTGAGTCAGGTATGTCGCCACTATCGATGGTATCTTTGAATTCCAGGTGAACACCAGAGACCGAAAAACTTTCCCGGTGGTTGGCTACCGTTGAAAAGCCTGGTGGTGGTTTGACGCAGTGCGTCAGACTGACTGTATACCTATCTACTGGGCTTCTAACACTCTGCCCTATACGATATGATACGAACCTTTTCTGTCTTTCCGTTTTGCTCGTGCTTCTTTTGGCGCAAGGGTATACGGTCTTTCTACGTTACCAGAGGGTTCATGGCCATGGGGGCTGTTTATTTTTTTTTCTTCTTCGAGGAAAGTTCCTCGATTACATATTTAGCTTATATATTCTTAATCTCCTTGTCCTAGTGACAGGTGTGCATTGTCTCGGGAGCATTCATTTTATATCGGTATTAACGCATTTGTCTCAGGCGTTGGAAGATTGTATGCGCACATTCTTTGGGTTTAGGTATAAGGTGGGACGGGACAAGGCGCAAATCAAAAGTTAAATGAAATCAGTGTTATTGGAGAGTTAATAAACATACCTTTCCCTATCAATACCTTCTTCTACCGATTGTCTGTCTGTCTGACAGCCCGGCCAAAAAGTGGACCATATTGAAAATTGGCAAAAAGAAAGCCCAACGCGGGGCTCGAACCCGCGACATTGTGATAAACCCTTATCCGGTTAAGGAAGGTTAAGAGTCACACGCTCTACCGACTGAGCTAGCCGGGCTAATTAATATTGGGCCCGGGGATTTTAAGAAGCATATTCGAGGGAAACTAAGTGAGGTGTATCCACTCGACGTCAGTGACAATGTCAATAATAATAATGTCAGGTAGCTGTGGGTGACTAACCACTCAACAACCGCAACAGAGAAGCTCCTCTTCACCATCATCTCCTAATTGACGCCCACAATTCACTGGCTTTGGCAAGGAAACCTAATTCTTCCCATCTGCATTGCATTGGGTGCTTGTTACGCATGAGTCTGAGTCAAAACTCTGTCACACCACACGCTCTCCAGACACCTTGGCCATATTTGTGCCCAGAGCTCTAAGAGGAGCAACAACCGGGGTGGCGGAGACGCGCTCTCCCTGTATCTTCTAGAAGGTATCCCGATCAGATAACGTCTTTTCGTCCATAATATGGCGGAGGCTCTGTCATCGACCCTCGCCGAGCTGAGTCTGAATGCCCAGAACCTCAGCGGGGCTGCCTTTGACGCCCGGATAGTGGAAGAAGAAAACGGCGTATATCAGAGCCGTGGACCTCGAACAAAAAAACAACCCAATTCTGAGGATCTGAAGAAAGAGCTAGAGTCTGAATTTCTCACTCCATCTGCCCAATTTAGTCCCGAGTGGCTTAATCGTCTCCAGAGGTTTGTCTTACCGCCATTCTTCCCTGGTTTCTTCTGCCCCTCTACATCACATCACACATTGTGGATATGATTGACGGGGTTGGAGTTCGTGTTTTAAATTTACTTTTACTTTCTTGTCTATAATAATTTTTTTTTCTTTTGCTAATACTGTGGCACAGGCGATGGGATGTCTCAACGGACTACACGGATCTTTTTGAAGTTGCCGGCACTCAAACGCGGACCATCGTCCGATTCGATCGAGAAGGACTAGAAGGCCGTGTCACTAGCTACCATGAAGTCACTGTTCCTGCCTCCAGTGCTAACGCGAAGAACTCCACTTCTCTTCTTCGCCGCCCGGCTGGCCGCGCAGATTTCGTCAGGGGCGCGGCTGGATTTTTCCCCTTTGCGCCCGGCGGTTTAGACGGCGTTGAAGCGATTGCTGAAATGGAATCAGATGTCCAGTCGACAGAGAAACAGCGATCTGGTGGAAAACAGTCCGGCCTTGATAGGATAATCAATTTCGGCGCGGACGGTGGCCTCCTGGAGATCGCCCCGGGCTTTTCGCGGGGGCTGAAGTTCGAAGAAACAAAATCCAAGGAAACTGAAGAGGGTGACCAGGAGGTCGAGCATGCGCTTCAACAAGAGGAGACTGATCTCCACGTCGAAGAGAATGATGATGAGCCAACTTCGGACGCTGAAGGAGGTGTCAAGATCGAAGACGAAGAGGAATTGAGTGGAGATGAGGAAGATATCGATGCTCTTTTGCCTGTTGAATTCCCAGCACTCGAACCTCGGGCCCCGCTTCTTTCGAACATCCAGAGGAAAGGTGGCAGGGAGTGGGCCCATATTGTCGACGTCAACAAGGATATTCCGAATTTTGGGGATCTCGTTCCGGATATGGCGAGAGAGTGGCCATTTGAACTCGACACATTTCAAAAGGAGGCAGTATACCATCTCGAGGGTGGTGATTCCGTGTTTGTTGCGGCGCATACATCGGCGGGTAAAACCGTGGTCGCTGAATATGCTATTGCCCTGGCTGCCAAACACATGACGAAAGCTATCTACACGTCTCCAATTAAGGCCCTGAGTAATCAGAAATTCCGAGATTTCAGGCAAACTTTCGACGACGTCGGCATCCTTACAGGCGATGTCCAGATCAATCCGGAAGCCAGTTGTTTGATTATGACAACCGAAATCTTGCGGAGTATGCTCTACCGCGGGGCGGATTTAATTCGCGACGTGGAATTTGTGATATTTGATGAAGTACACTATGTCAATGATCTTGAAAGAGGTGTTGTTTGGGAAGAAGTAATCATTATGCTCCCCGAGCATGTCACGCTGATCCTTTTATCGGCAACGGTTCCGAACACGTATGAATTCGCCTCTTGGGTTGGACGTACCAAAAAGAAGGACATCTATGTTATCTCCACTGCGAAACGACCTGTTCCTCTTGAACATTATCTTTGGGCTGGGAAGGACAAATACAAGATCGTTGACTCGAACAAGCGGTTCCTGGAGAGTGGTTGGAAAGAGGCCGACAACATCCTTTCTGGCAGAGACAAGATCAAAGCCCAAAAGGCTGCTGAAGCCCAGTCCCAGTCCCAAGCAGCACGAGGAGGCGGTCCTCAGGGGAGAGGACGCGGACAACAAGCTCCAGGAAGAGGTGCTCCGGGCCGAGGTGGCGGTCGAGGCAATTCCCAGCGAGGCGGTGCGCCTCGCGGTAGAGGCCAGCCCTCCAACAGAGGCACTGGGAACATTGCTCGCACAGGGCGTGGTGGTGGGCGAACCACAGCCGCACAAGACAAGACGATCTGGGTGCAGCTTGTTCAGCATCTTCGCAAGGAGAATTTACTTCCTGGTTGTATCTTCGTCTTCTCGAAGAAGAGATGCGAGGAGAATGCTGATTCATTATCGAATCAGGATTTCTGTAACGCAACGGAGAAGAGCCTTGTCCATATGTTCATTGAGAAGTCGCTGACTAGGCTCAAACCCGAAGACCGAGACCTTCCACAGATCCGGCGGCTGCGAGACTTGCTCAGCAGAGGTGTCGCTGTCCACCACGGTGGCCTTTTGCCGATCATGAAAGAAATAGTCGAGATCCTGTTCGCCAAATCCTTGGTGAAGGTACTTTTCGCTACTGAGACGTTTGCTATGGGATTGAACTTACCCACTCGTACCGTGGTCTTCTCTGGCTTCCGTAAGCATGACGGAAAAAGCTTTAGAGATTTGTTGCCAGGCGAGTACACCCAAATGGCTGGACGTGCGGGTCGACGAGGTCTCGATAATGTCGGATATGTGATACTGGTAAATGGTGGAAGAGACGAGGCACCTCCTGTTTCCTCTCTGCGGAGGATGATGCTCGGTGATCCTACTAAGCTGCGGTCTCAATTTCGACTTACGTACAACATGATTCTAAATCTCCTCCGTGTGGAGGCCCTGAAGATTGAAGAAATGATCAAGCGAAGTTTTAGTGAAAATGCCACGCAGGCTTTGCTCCCGGAGCACGAAAAACAGGTTCAACTCTCCGAAGCCAGTTTGGCTAAGATCAAACGAGAGCCTTGCGATATCTGTGATATTGACTTGGCGACCTGTCATGACGCTGCCATTGAATATGAGAAACTGACCAGTGAACTTCACGTTGGGTTGATCTCTTCCCCGGTTGGCAAGCGCCTTTTCCAACCCAAACGCTTGGTCGTTTATCGGAAGGTTAGTACTTGCCCGGGCATCTATGGCGTAGATTTTAACATTTGTTTTCATAGGAGGGTTACCGAACTGCAGGTGTGATTGTCCGAGAAGGGGTGGGAGGAGGCTCAACGCCCAACATCCAGGTGCTTGAGATTGGAAAACTGGGGAGCAGACGTCACCCCTCCGACATCCTTCCTTTCTTACCGCATTTCCGGAGACTACTGCAAACTCTCCCTACCCGTGGGGCTGACATGAATCTGAAAGTCCAAAAGATTCCACTGTCCGATTTGGAATGTATTACCAATACTCTGGTCAAGCTAGGTGGCCCAACATGGTATCTGAACATTAAGAAAGGTGGGTTGGCGAAGCAAGCTCTTTTTATTGACTGTGTGGCTGATGTTCAAGACAGAGGCGATCAAGTTTGCAGACAAAGAACTGGCTAAGCTATGTGGGTCGTGGGAAACCCCGGTCTGGGACGAAATGGACTGGACTCGGATGAAGGAATTACAAGTGAGAGACGCACTCGAGAGACGACAAGCCCAGGCCACCATTGCGCAGTCGTGCCGCTGCCTACAATGCCCGGACTTCTTGAAACACGTGAGCCCCTTCTTTCTTGGATATCCCCAGCAATTGCCTACTGACAATGGATATAGTTCGAAATGCAGCACGATGAGTGGCAGGTCAAGGAGAACATCTCGCAGTTGAAGCAACTGATGTCTGATCAAAATCTCCAACTTCTCCCGGATTATCAGCAACGCATTCAGGTCTTGAGGGAGTTAGGATTCATAGACGAGCAATCTCGCGTCCAGTTGAAAGGCAAGGTGGCATGCGAGGTAGGTGGAGCTTGATTCCAAGCGCTTCTTCCAGTGTCTCCACAAGTGCTAATTATTTCCATCAGATCCACTCGGCCGACGAACTCGTCTTGACGGAACTCATCCTGGAGAACGTCCTGGCAGAGTATGAGCCGGAGGAAATTGTTGCGCTCTTGTCCGCATTTGTCTTCCAGGAGAAGACGGAGAACCAGCCTACACTGACGCCCCAGCTGGAAAAGGGCAAAGAAGCGATTGTTCGCATCTCAGAAAAGGTGAACGACTTTCAGATCCAGTACCAGGTGATCCAGTCCAGCGAGGATTCCAATGACTTTGCCAGCCGGCCGCGATTTGGACTGGCGGAGGTTGTTTACGAATGGGCCAAGGGCATGTCTTTCAATCGTATCACTGACCTTACCGATGTGATGGAGGGTACGATTGTGCGGACGATTACCCGACTGGATGAGACGTGCCGGGAGGTGAAGAATGCGGCCAAACTGGTGGGAGACCCTACGTTGTATACGAAGATGCAAGAGGCACAAGAGCTGATCAAGAGGGATGTGATATTTGCGGCATCGTTGTATATGTAATTAGTCATTCGTAGTTAGATGATCGTTGTTAAGGGCGGGAACCACCACCACGTGGGAATAGTCGAAGTATTTGTTTATTTTTCTTTTCTTTTCTGTTTGGGATGGAATAAACCTAAGAGCCAAAAAAGAGTCCCGAAAGGGTAATGAAATTCAGGCAGACAGTCCCAATAAGGAAAGTCTCTGCCTGGCGGTGGAAAAAAAAAACCGTAGTCGATCTGGGGGAGAGAATAAATAAAATAGAAATTTTAAAAGAAAAACCAGTTCCAGAAATTATGAAGTATAGTTTTTCAATAAAGA